CTATTTCATTGGAAGGATTAAACAGAACAGCAGTCCTTTTCTCAAGCTGCTTAGTTCTTTCATAGAAAATAAGGAGAGACTTGAGTGTGAATATAGACTTTTGTAATGCATATAAAGGGCCAGATTGTGGCTATTAAGCCATAGCCTGCACTGGAGGGGGTGAAGAAGGGTTTCATTGCAATGGAAGCTCCTGAAGGAAATCTTGCTGACTCAGCCAGAATCCTCTGAAGGACTTCCTGGGAACAAATATTGGCTGTCCAGAAAAACCACTTATTAGTGGGTGCAGCAGTTTTCATCCATCCCCTGACCTGTTAAGGTGTCTTTGTGGAGCAGAGCAGGCCTATGGCCATGTTTATTTTACCAGCACTCTTCTCAGTGCTGTGTGTTGGGAGTACAAACAGAAGAAGCTGCCTGGCTGAAAGAGGGAAAGTTCCTTGGCATTTTTCCTCTCTCTGTCATTTGTGTGTCTCAAGTATTGCTACAGGCAGTGCAGCTCAGTGCAGAAGAACCTGCAGGGTCCCCTGCAGAACACCCTGCAACTTTTCCTGGCTACTGTCATTTTATACTGGGCAATTCCGAGAAGAAGGACAGAATGAGCTGCCTACCAAGTTTGGCAGGAAATGATGGAGCCATCAGGAAAGGGTAGTAAGGGAGAAGATAGAAATCTCACTTGTCTGGGAAAGTTCTTGTCCTGTGCAAAGCTAAGCAGGCAGGTCCTCCTCCACCCTCACTTCCCCCACCTGTGTGGGCTTGGCCTGGAAATTCCTCCCCACCATCATCACCCACTCACTGGCTCCAGCTTGCAACATAGTTGGTTGTTGCTTCACTTACACATCCCTTTGTACATCTCTATAAATGTGGGCACAGCTGAGCTGAAACCCGAAGCTTGATCTATTGTCTTCTTTAAACGGTTGTGATTTTATATTTTTATGTTTGTACAGAGTGGGAATGATTTTATCTCAAGCTAAGAATACTGTTTGTAAGTATCAAAGCAGTGTAGTACAGATACTTTCATTCTTTGTGAGGTTTTGAACATGGTGATATGTTTCCCTTGTCCTGCAAATGTTTTCAGAAGTTTTTCTTTATGCCTACAAACCAAAATATGTCAGCAACTCTGCATAATAGTGAGTTGTAAATAACTGACTGATAGATTTCACATATTCACAGATTTTATAGTATAAAGCACAGAAAAAACCTGTTCTGATGTAGTGACTTCTCTTTTCAGTTTGACGCAGGTGATTCGAAAGTTTGCAAAGCAACTGGATGAGTGGCTGAAAGTAGCTCTCCACGATTTACCAGAAAACCTACGAAATATCAAATTTGAATGTATGTATTGCTCAAGCTCTCTCCTATTAACGTGGGATGTATGTAGTATTTCTTGATTACAAATTAATTGGAAGTGAGAGTAGTGTTCTTTTAGGAATTAAAACCTGGCAGCTTTATAAATCTTGCATTCACATACAATTTCCACTTGTTCATGAGAACCAATTTCATTTAGTGAAATGAGGCACTGCTCAAAATGAGAAGAATTGCTTTTCATTTCTTGTGGATTCTGATAAGAAATTAATTTTGTTGATAGTAAGCAAACATTAGGGATGATATTAGGCAAAGGAAATTATTAAACAAACCTTTAGGCTAGCACAATTTGAATACAGCTTGAGACCCTTACTCAGAAAAGTGCCAGAGTTAAAAATGAAGGAGATCAAATTACCCTGTCACCACAGGAAAGGGCACTAGTCCTTTTCAGACGTGCTTTGTAGATGCCTGCAGTGCACATCACCTATTGATAAAGCCTGCTTTATTTCACGGCTCTCAATTCTTTGCCTTTCATGAGCACTAAATTCCACACCACAAAGTTAAAGGAAAAAAAAAAAAACTAATTTAGGAGAAGGATTAACTATTTTGATCAGCATGGAAAATTAGGTGTATACTTTACTGAGAACAGCAAGGATGTAAGTTGGAACAACTAATTTTAGGGATTTTTGCATTGTTTACTAATTTACTTTAAAAGTTAAGCAAAGTCGGAACTGAGAATATGCTTTATCACATCTTTATCAGTTCAAAAATATTAAGAATCTGCAACAGCAAAATCTTTTACAATCTTACAGGGAGAGAGAAAGAGACGAACAATGCACTTTCTAATCATTCTCAATCTGTACTCTTCAACTGCTTCTATGTAGAGTACAGAGGGAAAACCTACTCTGTGGCCATGTCTAAGGCCTTTTTGGATAGATTTGCAAGTCTTTGGTGATTTTAGTGAAAGGAAAAACTTGAGTGCATCCTACCTTTTACATAAGCCTTTGTCACTTCTGCAATTGTTTCGTCCTCATCAGAACTTGTGATAGTATACACAGCCAATGGAGGTACTGACAGGAGTTACTGCAAGCCTTGGTCATATTTGCAGTTCCCGAGTCATACATTTCAGACAAGAGATGCACAATACAACATTTTAAAAGTTTGTTTTCCAAGTATAGGAAATATCTTAATACAAGGTCCTTGGTCACTTGGAAACAGCTGAAATAAGAGCAGAGGATTGGCAAGTACCTCCTGGGCCATTTTACCCCATAGCATATTAGTATGTCATCTAATCTCTTTCAGAAACTTTGATCAAATTCTACCTAAAACTGTAGCAGATTTTAGCTGCTACTAGTCCAGTCAAAAGACTCCTCCAAAACTTCTTTGCATTCAAACTTGGCAACCTTTTCTAATTTCCACACATGATGTAGCTATCGTTATTTTATGCCCACTTGCTCTTGCACCAACATTTTTCTTTCTATTAAATAGTTCTTTCTGGTCTTCAGTTCCTTTGTGTATCAAGAGAAAATTTGCTATGCTGAACAAGTAAAGCTCTTCCATTGTCCTCTACATTTCTCTTGTCATCTCATTATTCACAGCACCTATAAATCATTGCTTGTAATATGCCTCTGTAAAACTGATTGAGCATCCAGATTTAAGGTTTTAGGTCAAGGTTTAAACTAAGTTAAAACTCGACTGTTTGAATGTAGCCACAATTGTATGTGGGAAACTGGATATATTTTTTTTGAATTTTGTTTTAGTTTGGTATTTTCAGAAGTAGTTTTCTTTATTTAGCACAATATGTAAATATGTATCTCTTCTTTCCTGCAGTGTCCAGAAGATTCTCACAAATACTCCGGCGACAGACATCACTAAATCATCTCTGCCAAGTAAATGTTTCAGTTACCCAAGTTTGCTGAATGCCATTTTTACTGACTTTTCAAATAATTTTATGAATTGGCAGGCTGGACTTTACTCAAAGAGGAAGAGATCGTGTTAGCAGTTTGTCTCCAATATTTATTGTGACCATCTTTACAAAATCAAAAAGTAATCAGCAAAAAATGTTTTTCTGGACAACTAGCAACCCCTGATAATTAAATTCAGCAGGGTACTTTTATGAAACAAAATTATTATTTGATCTGACGAGATTGTTCATTTCCAGGAAATAAATGAGAGACATTACATTGATTTCAGAGCAGTTTGTGTTAGGCCTATTGCAAAGCAAGAAAAATTTCTCTATGCCTGACAATAAATTCCAAGTCTAATTGTAAATTATAAATCAAATGCAAGTTAGTAAAAAACAAAACAGTTGAACCACTGGGGTTTTAAATAGAAATATTCTTGCAATCATAGCAAGTGAATATAAAAACCACTCTGAAGTGTTTGTTTTTCACCAGTTAGTTTAGATCAGAATTACCTACCTATCAAAAAGTCATGAGGCCAAATTCTGTGTAGTATAAAAAGGGGAAGAATGCATTCAATTCATTAATGTTTCACCCATGTCTTAGAGCAGACAGTTTGTTTTCCCTGTTACATTGAAAGCTCCAATTTTGGAAGGTATATCCAACACCTCAGGTTAACCCTGTGAGTGGTGAAGCGCACAGGAAGAAGCTCTGGGGAAAAAAAAAACACTCCTGCAAGGACCTCTTTGTAGATTTCTTCCTCCATTATATAGTGGTGGAGGCAGAGATACCAGTGCCACCTCTCCCCAAACACGGTGGATCATCACTGAACTTTGGAGGTCCATAGGGATTCAGAGACCACAACCTTCTGCATCAGGCCTGGGATCAAAGAGTTTTCTTAAATGAAGGACTCTTCAAATGCATCATTTCCTTGGGGAAGCTGATAACCTTAGTGTGGGTTATAATCTGCTTAACTTACTTACAGAGATCTGGTGTATGTTACATAACCATGACCTTGTGTCACTTCTTTTCCTCTTAGTCCATCCTCCCCATTAACAGCGGACCCCTGTCTCAACCAGCCAAGAAGCAAATCTGATGCAGAGGCAAATGAGCTTTAACCTTTTCATGTAGCTGAGGGAAGAATGAGAGTCTTCAGAGTCTGGGAGAGGGGAGGGTGGAAACCTGAGTGGGGTTTGTTTGGTTTTGGCTTGATTTTTCTTACTGCTTTTTGCTTTTGAACTGAAGCTGGTCAAGAAAACCAACAGAGCTGTTAGAGCTTGAGGAGTCTAGCAACAGCATCACCAGATTAGAGTTGCTCATCAGGGCTGTGGTGGATGCAATCAAAATAGTTGCAGTTGATTAAAGTAGGCAAAATGACTTGGGAATTCTCTGTGGTTAGAGAGTCCTGTAATGTCCATAAGACATCAAGCTGGTGGGTGGGGGTCCACAAGGAGAATCAACTTAGTGAGCCTAGCTAAGGAAGCGTTAAAGGGGATAAAGCCTATTTTTTAACCTAATAAACCATGAACTAATTAATAGATTGGCTTGGATTACAGGCATCAAGAACGGTGATCCACAGTGCAGACATCACATTTCAAATGCTGGAGGACTGGAGGAATGTGGATCTGAATAGCATTACCAAACAAACCCTATATACTATGGAGGACTCACGGGAGGAACACAGAAAGCTCATCATACAGTGTAAGATCAGAACCCTCAAATAAAGCCAGGTGAACTTGGTTTCCTGCTGGAAGCAAGGCTCAGTGAAAGTAACACTGGTTTTGCAGCCATTGCTTTGCTTGGAGGCTTAAGATAAATATAGGTACATTTATCAAAATGCAAGGCAAAACCCTGTCAAGGTCTTATGTTTTGAGGCACAGATCTGGGTACTCTTCTGTTAATGAGTTTCTTTCTAGTATCCAGAACAGCCAATGGCACAAAACTTACACCCAAATTCAGGAGGATTTTTTTTCCATGAACTTGAGCAAACTCTGCCTATGAGTTAACCATTGAATCTGATAAAGTTCAATCTCTCCTGCTGTAGAATTGTAGGAGACTTGTCTTTTGAATGGCTTTGACACTAAAGTGGCTGTGTATTTGAGTCTTTTGTAAACTTTTATGTATAAAAAGTTCCATTTTACACAGTGTTTTCATAAAGAAGATCATTTGATGGAGTAAGCTTTCACCCTGAACTTTTATGAGTAAGTAGAAGTTTCATATCGAGCAAGCTCATTGGCTAACTTAGATTCTGCCTAGTATAGTGAAGGGCATGAACTGAAAAGTGACTTTAGAGATGTTGGCAAATTGGGTTTAGAGTTAAAGATCTTCTGCAAATATAAAATTTAACTTGCATTGTCCAGCAAGTGTGCATGGCTGTAAGCTTAGGTGTAATCCTAAGCACACTGAGTTTGTCCCTCTGAGGCACCAGAGGTGACTAGCTTTGTCTTTAGCATCGTTCGTAACCTCACTTCCCTGTGAACCCACCTGTTGTATTGCCATCTCTCTCCTGAGGAGGACCAGTCATCTTTTATCCAGAACCAGCCTTAATGGGGAGCAACCCGGGCAACCACTTGTGGGAGCCCTGCAAGGGTAGGTTTGCTAGTGGGGTAACTCTTTCAGTGAGTGGCTGGGAAGAGGAGGGGTGACACCGTCACATGTATGCTGGACCCTGCAAGCTTGACTTTGATGCTCGTCCTACCATGTTAACACTAGAATTCTTCTCCCCAGTTTACGGATAGGACATTCTCTGTTAGCTCTGTTTTCCAGCTAGAGGTGCTTGGTACTTTTTCCTCTCCTTCTTGACCCTTGATTCATTTCCTGACATGGCTGTCTTCCCTTTTGAGGAGATAGAAACTTGACGTTGCAGTACGGGAGGTAGCATATAGTGAGACTGGAGTCCAGAAGCTGGGTACATCCTTCTGTCATCTGTTATGCTTTCAGTATCTACCCATCCTCCCACTGGCCAAAGAAGAGAGTTCTCAAAGTTATAATCCCTAGTAGCAGCAACAGTTTTGGCTCTCATTCAGAAAATCCTTACTGTTTGGGATAGCTTTTTGTATATGTGCTAACTATTTAAATAAAAATTAAGTGTAATAAAATCAAATGGAATTTTCCTGAATGCTAATGGATTTGAACACATGTTTTTTCATACTTTAGGCCCATATAGTCCAATCATAGAATCATAGAATCATTATGGTTGGAAGAGACCTCAAAGATCATCAAGTCCAACCGTATACCCAACGCCACCATGCCCACTAAACCCACCAAACTGTGTCTCGAAGCGCCACATCTAAACATTTTTTGAACACCTCCAGGGATGGTGAGTCCACCACCTCCCTGGGGAGCCTGTTCCAATGCTTAACCACTCTAACAGTGAAGAAATTCTTCCTAATATCCAACCTGAACCTCCCCGGCGCAACTTGAGGCCCTTTCCTCTTGTCCTATCGCTAGTTACCGGGGAGAAGAGGCAGACCTCCACATCGCTACAACCTCCTTTCAGGTCGTTGTAGAGGGTGATAAGGTCTCCCCTCAGACTCCTTTTCTCCAGGCTGAACAACCCCAGCTCCCTCAGCTGCTCCTCATAAGACTTACCCTCCAGACCCTTCACCAGCAATAAGCAATCACTCAGAAATGGTAACCTAATATAAATGTTCATCATGTGATGGGATTCCACTGAAATCTGCAGATATGTATAGAGATTATTGTAGAACTTAGATTTATTTTTTTTTTTCCCCTATCTTTGATGTTTATTCTACTTGGCCAAAAATCTTTTCAAAGATCAGACTCTGTATGACTCATATGACATGGAGTTAAGGCCTGCTTTCACATTCCTGGTATTGATAATCAAGAAATCACAATTTCCAGCTATTGTAACTGGAAAAAAAAATGTTTTTAAGCCTATAAGCAAGCTTAGAAAGAAACAGAGAAAAATCACTGTGTTTAAGAGAACCTCTTTCCTGCTCTGCTATAGTAGCTGTCTCTGACATGGTTTCTTCTTTATTCCCTCTTTCTCAGATCCTGTTGAGGTATTTTTAACAGTTACTAAAGGCTAAACAAGTTACTTTTCTCAAATAGGTCATTGTACACAGTTGCATTGCTCCCACAGCAGAGCAGGCAACTGATTTGTTTTTCCACTCTTGCTCCCCTCTTTGCACAGCATATGAATTACTTCATCTGTTGTATCAGACAGTTTTTGTCCAGCCAAATACTCAGGTAAGGAGACAACATTTAGATTTCTCTGTCATCCTGTTCTGAATAAAGGGAGGTTGCCCATTCAATAAAACAATGAAACAAGATAAGGGTGACCGAAACATCGTTATTTCCCTTCTTCCCCAACTAATGTTTCTGACCATCCAGCCTTTGCAAGTCTAAATTAAACAAAATTGTAGTCAAATGTGAAG